TGCATTTTTATCTCCCTAATTGAAATGATTTTCCTAAAGCACAGGTTATGACCACATCACCACCCTACTCAATAAACTCTAATGGGTCTTTATTACCTCTAAGGGTGAATATAAACTCCTCTGTCTGTCAATTAAGTCTCTTCATAACCTACCCATCCTACTATTCCAGTCTTCTCCTGAGATCCAGCCATACTATCTACCCTTTATTCCACACACAAGATACTCAATACTCACTCTCCTAGAGCTGTATCTTTGTACTATCTGTCCCTTAATTCTGAATGCATTTCCTCTTCATTTCCACCTCTTGTGACCCAAATGCCCTTCAAGACTCGACTCAAGAACCACTTTCTCTATGAAACATCTACTATTCTTTACAAAGGCTAATGCCCTCCCTTCCAAAATTATTTTGCATTATCTTACATATCCCCAATTATATACAGATTTTCTCCCCCATTGGAATGTAAACTCCTTAAAGATAGAAAGGATTTCACTTTTTTTTTATATCTACAGTGCTTAGCACATAGTAAGCACTTTAAAAATTCTTGTTTGTTTATTGATTGATCACCCAGCGTATGGAGGACTGAACCATGGCACTACCTGTTTAAATGAAACCTTGCCTAAGATACTCTATTAAAGCTCTCCCCATTCCCAAATCACTTTACATGTCACCTTCATATATTTCCAATCCCCCCAGTAGAATGTAACCTCCTTGAAGGTAACTATTTAGTTTTTTTTTTTTAATCTTCATGTGCCCGGTACCTAGCACAATGCTTTGTACTTACTTTCTTCTCTAAAATCCTATGATTTGATGTACCCATGACCTAAGTCTAATTTTTCTGTTCCACAAAATTCATTTTCTCACAGTTGCTTAGAATTCTATGGGGCTCTGAGTTTGGAAGCATTCCATAGAAGTGGAACCACAAGGGAGATCTTTAAGCAGGTCAAACACCCTTGAAATAGCAATTCCTACCCTTCTCACAAATTCCACCAGGAATCTACCCACAGTAGTGAACCAATTGAATAAAAATAACCCTATTTTGTCAGAAGAATATTTGAGGTGAAGGTCACAGAAAACAGATCATTCTTCTGGGGTTGTTGTTGCAGTATCATTTTAATGATAGATATCACTATTCTAGTAAACGGAGGAAAAAAAACATTTAGGATTTAGCAGCTAGTACAGTATTTTGGCAAGCACAATGTCCTGAAGTCACTTAATGACTGGAATTAGATCACAACACATGACATGGTCCCTGCTCTTCTGTTAAACAGGATGCTTCATGTCACAAAGGGCCTCAGTTTCCTAATCTGTAAAATGAGCAGGTGACCTTAATGATCTCTAACATTAAATAATTCTGATAATCTCTAGCTCTTCTGTTTACCCAGTAGGCCTGACTTTTCACAAACACTGACATACTATATCAACAATCCCTATTAGAATATAAAATAATAAGAACTCCCTGAATACAGTGTAAACATAAATAAGGGTCTAAGCTATAATATGGCTGAGCCTGTCTCATGGAGAAGTTACCTTTAAAACACATTCTGCCTTATAGAGTAGAACAAGGAAGTCAGATCCACTATACAACATGCTACTGTATTAATGAACAGCAATAATTTTAAAAGATCTGTGCTGAACAAAGAGTTAGACTATCCCTAAGAGTTTCATCTAATAAGATACAGTTTCATAAGTTGTATAATACCTAGTGATAAATTTACAATATCAATATGCCATCTCAAAGCTGAATCTCATCATCTATAACTATTTCATTGCTATGCTTGTCACAACCTGAGGCTCTGTGACTATCCCTGGAGAGCAAATCAGGCCTGGAAAAGACCTACAATCATCCCAGAAAGTTCAGGCCAAATTCGGTTCAACTTCCAGAGGAAGTTAATGAGGTTAATCTAGACCTCAGAGGTGCAGAGGATCAGTGAACAAAAGATCTCTTTGGACTTTCCTATACCCATAACTATTTCTGTATCATTGCAGATACCATTCCTTATATGTGGCAAATCCTTTCCATGATGCCATGCCCTTCTCTTTCTTAAAATCCCAATTTGAAACTCACTCCAGAAAACTTTTCTGATTTGGAGATTTCTCATCTTAATTGCACATATCATCAGCACTTAAGTCCTTAATATAGATTGATTAATGCATAGTTAGTAATGAATAAGTATTGATAATTAATGAAAGTATTTCCTTTAAGGCACTATGAGGGAGGAGTAAAAGGAAAAACAAGACATTGTGTATCACCTGCTTTGGAAAAAGGTGAACAGTAATTCAATTTTACAAAATATAAACATTTTCACAGAAAGATAATCTCAGTACCAGACTTTAATTTTCATAGAAAACAGACCATATTAACTATGTTCATTGGACTAGAAATGTAAAATAACAGCAAAGTACTAAATCCATCTGAATATCTGGAGCAAAAATTCTATTCTGTGGTGAGCACAGATTGTTGAATCTTATAATCTAATTAAGTCTTTTCAAGGTTGTAAAAAGTTGTTTTCTGTGTCACAGGCAAAGTCAAAGAGATTTGTTCCATCCGGAAGCTGATACATGCCTAATTCCTCCCAATTTTACTCCACATTTTAGAACACAGAGGTTAACAGTCTTCAATGTTAGAGGGGAGCTAGTGGTGTAGTGTATAGAGCACTCAGTGAGGAAGACTGAGTTCAAATCTGGCCTCAGACACTTACTAGCTATATGATCCTATGCAAATAAATTTACTTCTATCTGCCTAATTTTCCACAACTGTAATACAGGAATAATAGTGCCTACCTCAGAGGGTTATTGTGAAGATCAAATGAGATAATATTTGTAAAGCACAATGACTAGCACAGTTGGCCCTTAATAAATGCTAATTCTGTTCCATTCAGTGAGAAGGCATCTAGGAAAATCTCTCCACAATTGATAAAGGTCCCCAGAAAGCAAATATATAACAGTGCTATACAAACAGGGGCCACTAAATCATACATAAGGATCAGGAGTGTTGTGGATTGCAAGAAGCCTATGGGCTGTTTCTGATATATAGCACATTATAGAGTTTCTACTGTTCAATTTGTTCATCCTATGGTCCCTACATTACTCACATCTTTATTTTGTAAGGTTTCCCCTTTCTCTATCTCTACACCTGTAACTCTCTCAAACCCTTCTCCTAGCTGTCCAACATCCCTCCCCAAAAATATTCACAAGAGGTGTTAGCAGAATGGCTGCACCCTAAGTTCCCAGCTTATAAGATCCATGCATGGGAAATGATCAGTCTAAGTCTAACAGTACCTGCCTCCAAAAGATGGAGGTAGCTGAACATACATTTCTAGTTGTTCCAAGACCATTCTAGACTGCTGCACAGAACATAGCAGGTTACTGTGAAAAACAGAACAATGAAGACATCTCTAAATATGAAACTATTAAAGAAGGAAATTAATATACTTTCCCACAAGGCACTGAGTACCAGATGACCTTCTCATCTCACTTCATATGGCATTATCTTTCTACTAATCACACGATTGTAGATTTAGACCTAGAAGGGACCTCAGAAATCATCTGGTCCAATCCCCCAAACTGAGGCTGAGAGACATTAAGTGATTTAACCAGAGCCATATAGCTTCTAAGTGTCAGAGGCAGGATTTGAATCCTGGTCTTCTGACTCTAGAACACTATCTACTATATCATACTGCCAGAGCTTAGATTATATAACACCCAATTAAAGTTTATGTCTCTCTTTAATATTGTCCTTGTTACTAAAAATAAAATAGTACATAAAAGTTTTAAAACTAAATAAATAAAAACACTGAATTTGAAAGTATGGAAATTAAGGGCACATTTCAAATTTCTCTTTGGAATCTGATATGTATCTGTGAGTTTACCCAAACCCTGCTTAAAGAATTCTCAGAATATATTTTCAGTCACCACAACAATCTTTTGAAGAAAGATTCATATTGTTACATATTTGAACATCTCCTAATGCTCAGGCCCAACAAGCACAGACCTAAGGAGTGAGGGATGGCCCTGTGACATACTTATAGTGCAATCTGTGTATAAGTATGTCCTAGACATACTTATAGTGCTTTTTTTTTATTTTAAGAGGAAGGAAAGTCTTAAGCTTCCAAAGGGCTTCTAAAAAAAAGCATGGGAATTAAAGTGATTTTTTGAATTGCCTTTCTCACTCTACTCTAAATGATAAAATACACATCATTTTAATAAAATTATGCACTTTGGTACTTTCCAGTAATAAATTCTGTAACAGGCCAGCCATAAATAATTTAATATTTAATCAGACAAGCTTATAATTTGGAGAAGATGATTGGAAGCACCTCAAATCCTCTACCTCTAAATCCACTCATCCTTTGCAATATGCGTGCACACACACACACACACACACACACATACACATACACACATACAGACTTCTGTAAACTATCTCAAACTCCTATCCACTATAACTCTATAAGGAAGATGTAAATGAGCTTCTGGTATTTCTGTGAAGCCTTGTCTCCGTTCATAAGACAGCTCCCTGAAAACCACCAAATACAGAACACCCTCTCAATTTAATGGCTTAAGGTGATTAAAATCAAGACCACCAATTTTAAACAGATTCAGACTAGACTTTTAATGAGTATGGGGAGACTTCTAGGAGCTATTTGTTTTCAGCTCATCATTTACTCAGAGTTTGTTAGAACAAAGTGACTCACAGGATTTGCTGAAGTAGCAGAAATTTTAGAACACTAATAATATTAAGACAAAAGTTAATAGTGCTGCAGGTTAACTTTATGACCAATTATTCATGCAAGACTGAGCATACTCAAAACACATTACTGTAAATGTGAAGAGCTATTTTCTTTCCCAAGCTCACATTTCGTGACGATACTTTTTATTTTAACATAAATGAGGAAAATATAAGACCAATTAGGAAACTCTTTTAAAGTAAACTCTTTTCAGTAAATTACTTAACATTTTGTAGTAACAAGTGCTTTGTTGAATGGAATGTCATTCTTACCTCCATGGGGAAAGCTTTGAAGTTAACAGTATGTTCAGAACCACGCTGGTTTTCTCTCCCCCAGTGAAATCGGACTTCATATAGTTCAAATTCATGCCCTTGAGGCAATGGTCCTCCTGTAAGTACTGGGTGGGGGGGGGGGACAACATACATTTTCTTTAGTTATTATATTTTTCCCAAATATGTATATTTCTCAGTACAGCATGTTATCAACATAAGAGACATTTGGCCAAGATAAAGCAGTTATATGGTGATTATATGATTATATGATGATTATATGATGATTCTAAAGTTGGCTATGGGGCAGCTAAGTGGTGCAGTGAATATAGTGCCAGGCCTGAAGTCAGGAAGACTCAGTTTTCTGAGTTCAAATCTGACCTCAGACATTTACCACATGTAAAACTACTCCAGTATCTTTGTCAAGAAACCCCAAATGGCATCACAAAAAATTGAATGTGACTGAAACAACTGAACAACAAAAAAGGTGGCTATGTCTAAGAGGCTTGTATACAGATTCAGCAGATCACAAATTCAAATTCCTTGTGAATAAACACTTTTTTTTTTCATTTTGCCAGGGTCCAGAATTTACACAAATTCTCAGCCTGCTGTAAAACAAGCCTCCTCCAGTTGTGAAAAGATCCATCCATTTTGGAGAGCAATTTGGAACTATGCCCAAAGGGCTATAGAAATGTGCATACCCTTTGACCCAGCAATAGCACTTCTAGGGCTATGTCCCAAAGAGATCATACAAATAGGAAAAGGACCCACATGTACAAAAATATTTATAGCAGCTCTTTTTGTGGTGGCAAAGAATTGGAAATTGAGAGGATGCCCATCAATTGGAGAATGGCTGAACAAGTCATGGTACATGAATGTAATGGAGTACTATTGTGCTATAAGAAATGATGAACAGGCTGACTTTGGAAAAACCTGGAAAGACTTGTGTGGTCTGATGCTGAGTGAAGTGAGCAGAACCAGGAGAACATTGTACACTGTAACAGCCACATTGTGTGATGACTAATATTGATAAACTTAACCCTTCCCAGCAATACAAGGATCTAAGACATCTCCAAAGGCCTCATGATAGAAAATGCTATCCACATCCAAAGAAAGAACTATGGAGTTTGAATGCAGATCAAGGCATACTATTTGCTATTTTTTCTTCTGTTATGTTTTGTTTCCTCTTTCTTGTGGTTCCTCCTACTGGTTCTAATTCTTACTTACAACATCACTAATGTGAAAATATGTTTAATAGGTATGTATATGTATAACCTATATCGGATTGCTGGCCATCTTGGGGAGGAAGGTGGGAAAGGAGGCGGAGAAAAATTTAAAACTCAAAAGCTTATGGAAGTGATTGTTGATAATTCAAAATAAACTAATTAAAAAAAAAAAACAAGCCTCCTCCAACCTGCCCTACCAGTGATAATGACTTCATCCCTGGTTCCCTCAACTCAAATAGGTGAGCCCCTGCCCTGTCTTTTCAAGGTTCAGGCCTCCAATCACTTCCCCTCTCTCCACACCATGCGCTCCCTACCTTCCAGCTCCCTTTATGTGTTGTCTTCCCCTAGTAGAATGTAAGTTCCTTGAGAGCAAGAAATTTGCCAGGTTATATTTGTATCCCCAGCACTTAGCATAGGGCCTGGCATATAGTGAATAGTTAATAAATAATTTATCTACCTCTCTATCTAACAAGACTCAAGGCTGGCAACAGAGGAAAGAACACTGAACTTGAAGTACCAAGTCCTGAATTTCAAACCCCTTTCTGTCACTAACTACTTTTGTAACCTTGGATATGTCATTAAATTCTTTGGGCCTCAGTTTCCACATCTATAAAATGAACTATTTTAAGTTCCTTTCCAACTCTAGACTTATGATTCTTAGTCAAAGTAAAATATTTAAGTATGCTTAATACACCTGGGGGAAGGGGTAGGGAGAACAGGCACTAGATGAACTTCACTTTTATCTGAAATGGGCAAAGAATTGAACACAGACAAGTTGTTGTACAAATACGTAAGAGCTCAACAGGAAACAAGCAGGGATGGGTGGGTGGCCTTAGGGTGGAGGGGATGGGGGTAGGGGTCAGGAGTTAAGAGGAAGGATAATACCAGGGAAAGGAAATAGCCTGAAAGCAAAACAAGTCCTTTGTCCCTGAAAGGCAGATTAAAAGAAAGAAAAAAAAAGAAAAGCAAGGAAGTAGCACTCTAGGAGGTGCCCATCAGTGGGAAAGTTCTGAACAAATTGTGGTATGTAAATGTAGTGGAATAGAATTGCACTATAAAGAATAACAGATGACTTTAGAGAATCTGGATAGTAGCAACTGATACAGAGTGAAGTAGGCAGAGTAAGAAGAAGAGTCTATACAAGGACAACACTGTGAAGAAAAATGACTTTGAAAAACCTAACAACTCTGTTCAATGCAATGATCAACCATATCTTCAGAGGACCTATAATGAAGTATGTTATCAATCTCTTGACAGAGACTGGAGATAGACAAAAAGTATGAAAAGACATACATTTTTGGACATGGCATGACTTTTTTTTAACATTGGATTCTTTTTTCTCTTCTCAATTTTTAATTGGGAGAAGGTAGGGAAGAGAGGAAAATTGGAAAGAATGATGTAAATAAAAAAATCCAGGGCCATTTAAACATTTTTTTAAATGAAAAATTCAGAAGTCAGCAAAGCAGGATAGTTCTAAAAAAAAAAAGTGTGAAATTATTATATTACTTAAAAAAAACAAGCAATATGAAATGAAGATTCAGTTTTATGTACAGTCTTCTTTTTATCTTTTGCTGGGTATATAGAAATGCTGTTGTTTTAGAGTTTAATTTGATAATAAAAATGAAAATTTTAAAAAGAAAAAGACAATTCTTTTGAACTAAGTACATACTATGGATTTCTTCAAAATAAAACAACTAATTTAAAATCCTAATAACCTAAATATAAATATAATGTAAAATGTAACCTTCATCTCTATAGCAATATATATTTGGAAGGAGGTAGATGGATAGATAAGTAGATAGATAGGAGGATGGATAGAGAGACAGACTTTGAAAGATAATTATACAAATTTCCATAAAATATTAAATGAGAAGCTTTTTGACATCTTTCATTTAAATAAAAATGTCATACACAATTTATCATCTGTCCTCCTTATACCTTTCATTTTCTTACTGAAATTAAGATCATATGCCATACTCAGATTAGGAACTATTCTGCCTTAAGAGAGTTTACTAAGGCATTGAGCAATAAAGTAACTTGAAGATGGTCACTCATCCAAGATGTGTCAGTGGCAGAACTTGAACCTAGGTCTTTCTGGACCTGAAACTGGCGCTGGATCCACTATTTCATGCTGCTTCTTCATTTGGTCTAATTTTTCGTTCAGTCACTTCAGTGATGTCCATTTTGGGAATTTTCTTGGCAGAGATACTGGAGTGGTTTGCCATTTCCTTCTCCAGCTCATTTTACAGATGAGCAACTGAGGCAAACAGGGTTAAGTGACTTGCCCAAGGTCACAAAGCTAGTAAATGTCTGAAATGGAATTTGACCTCATGAAAATTGAGTCTTTCTGATTCCAAGCCCAGTGCTCTATCCACTGAACCACCTAGCTGCCCTTCATTAGGCCTAATACAATAGAACAATTCTAAATTCATTACAAATTATCCATCTAACTTCATCAATAGAAGTGTTTATTAATTAAAGCTCCCTTTTTTCTGTATCAACCCAATTCTAAATTTGTAACATCTGAGAAATATGTGATACAACTTATTCTTTGAAGATGACAAGAATCTCTTGATTACAAGCAGCTAGGCTTCACATAGAGTGTGGGACTTGGAGTCAGGAAGACCTGAGTTTGAATCCTGACTCAGGCATGTGCTACAATCTGTGTGACAAATCAATCTCTCTTGGCTTCAGGTTCAGTTTTGTTGTGAGGATCAAATGAGGTAATATATGTAAAGCACTTTGAAAAGCTTAAAGAATTCCAATCCTTATTTTTATTATGTCAGAGTTCACCTTGCTGACCCTGGAACTAAAGAATAAGAGACCTACTTTGACAAAAAAAACTAATTCTTGCCACTCAGTAACAGTGACTAGCTCTAACTATAATTCTCAAAGGAAAGATTTTTGATGTATATAGTATTTTGAAAAATCAATATACCAGCAGAATGTTCTTTACTATGGTTGTGAAAAAGACCTTGACCTTTTCAGGTAAATACATAATAATGTGATACCAATTCATTACCCTTTGTACCTGGAGAAGTTAGAAATGCAGGTTGTTTATTTTGGGGATAAATGGTCCTGAGGACTTAATCTAGCTACAACTTCAGCTCAGAAAAACACTGACAGAAAGAAATGATGGCATGGTGCCCAATGTCATTGTCAAGGCCTTATAACATTATATGATTTTAAGATGGCAGTATAAGAATCAAAAATTAAACAAAATGAAATGTCATTTAGTCAGTTTGTGACAAAAATTCATGAATTCTCAAGTTTGAATTTGAGAACTGGGATTCCCTTATTCCTCATTATCAATAAGGACAGTTCCTAGTATTATCAATACTATAAAAAGTATTAAATGAATTAAGCTACAAAGATAGAAAGTATTTCCAGGCATTCAGAAGCTTAGTATAAAATCAAATCATTCTATACACTCTTTGTAAACATCTCACTTCCGTGTATTTGAGGAGTTTCTGATTTTAGATATTCAGATTTTAAAAGTATTCTACCATTGTCCCATACTCCCTTGTTAATCACACAGCTCTCAAGACTTAACCTTAAAGAAAACAAAACATTATATAGAGAGTGAACTCAATTCTTCCATCCGAGTTTGGGAGAAGACAAGGAACAGTTCCTTTCAAACTGTTCTTTAGTCTGCTCAGCTTATACTTAAGGAGCTGGAGGATGCTATCAAGGCAACCATTTGTTGAATTCTGACTAGGTAGTAAGAGAAGAGCATGTATGCACATCTTTAAAGCAAGGCAATAAAAACTCTCCCTGGGTAACACAGCATGGTTGCTATGTAAGGGAAAACATGAGGGCTAAAGTCACATTCGCTACATTGTGCCTGGAGAAAATGGAATGAAGAAAAGATGGGATTTTTTCCAATCCTCCACTATACAAAT